ATACCCAGGAGAAGACTTGGATATGAAACTTGTGCCAACTGATGCAAATGGACGACCAGCATATTCGGTAATCGGTCCGAATGGTGAATTGCTACTAAGAGGTTATAGTGGAGAGATATTGGATCCATATGGCAAACCAATCCCTACAAATGCTGTTGGTATTCCAGTGAACAGTCAAGGAGAACCTCTTCCACGAGATAAACAAGGCAATTTTATATATCCGGCAACTGATCTTGATATTAAATTACCATCTACAGATAAAATTGGAAAAGCTGTCTATCCTGTTGTTGATTCCTATGGTGAACCTTTGCCTACGAATGAAGATGGAGTACTTATTGATTTTGATGGATCCCCCATACCAACCAATAGGTTCGGCTTACCTGTTGATGAACATGGAAAATATCTACCAAAAGATGCCAAAGGAAATTTCATTTTCGGTACTCCGATGAGGCCTACTAATCAGAAGGGCTTCCCGATATATACGGTCATTGGTCCAGATGGAAGTTTATTACCTCAGGATAGCGATGGTAACATTATTGATCCTTCCGGACGTCCAATTCCTACCAGTGAAGATGGTGTCCCAATAGACAATAGAGGACGCCCTTTGCCAAGTGATAAAACAGGTGTTGTTATATTTCCAGCAGGTGGTCTGGATGCCGAACCTATGCCTACGGACAAAAATGGAAAGCCAGTTTATCCTGTTATTGGACCTGATGGCTACCCGTTACCGACAACAGCCGATCATGACATTATTGGTCAAGATGGAAATATTGTGCCTGTCAATGCTGCTGGTGTGCCAGCCGATCATTGGGGTGAACCTCTGCCACGAAATAAACAAGGCAATTTTATATATCCGGCAAGTGGTCTGGATATCAAATTACCATCTACAGATAAATTTGGAAAAGCTGTCTATCCTGCTGTTGATTCTCATGGTGAATTTTTGCCTACGAATGAAGATGGAGTACTTGTTGATTTTGATGGATCCCCGATACCAACCAATACATTCGGCTTACCTGTTGATGAACATGGAAAATCTCTACCGAAAGATGCCAAAGGAAATTTCATTTTCGGTACTCCGATGAGGCCTACTGGTCAGAGGGGCTTCCCAATACATACGGTCATTGGGCCCAATGGTGAATTGTTACCAACCGAGGAATCAGGCAGAGTGATTGGTCCTGATGGACATCCAATTTCCATCGACAGCAAAGGCAGACCAATCAACAACCGCGGTGAAACGTTACCTACTGATCGTTCTGGAAATTTTTTGTATCCACTCAGAGGTCTCGGCGCCAAATTACTTCCCACCGACAGTAATGGACTACCTATTTACCCAGTGATAGATTCTGATGGACGAATATTGCCCACAAATGACAGGGGATTACCGCTCGATGGTCAAGGGGAACCTTTGCCGACCAATGCAGCAGGAGTTCCAATTGACGACCATGGAAAACCATTGCCTATTGATTCTAACGGCAATCTAGTATATAGGGAAGAAGTCCAGAAGCCCTTGGCGACTGAAGAGATGTATCCTGTAATTGGACCTGATGAAGAGCTGCTACCAGATGACGGAGTTGGTGTTACTGTTGATGGCCAATCGAGTCCAACAGACAAAGGAATTCCAGTAGGTGATATTGGTCGACCACTGTCAGAGGATTTCAGCGACAAAATGATTCAAGTTGGACCAAATATCGAATCATTGCCAACCGATTCGAATGGTCGGCCAGTATATCCAGTAGTTGGACCAGACCGGGAACCGCTGCCGACCAATGAAGATGGAGCCGTTGTTGACAAAAACGGCCTGGTTATACCAACTAATGCTGGTGGCGTACCTGTCGACGAAAAAGGCGTACCATTACCCACAGATGAAAACGGAAAGATGATATATCAAAAACCGGCCGTCGAAGCGCATGCTACAGAAAGATTAGGTAGACCGACATACAATGTGATTGGACCTGATGGCAATTACTTGTTGCTAGATGGTGATGGTGCTGTTTTAGACCCTGACGGTAAACCGATTCCGACAGACGAGAGTGGGGTTCTTGTTGATATGAAGGGTAGGCCTTTGCCGAAAGATCGCGATGGGAATATAATATACATAGCAAAAGGACTGGATATGAAACCATTGCCTACAGACCAAAATGGAAAACCAATTTACTCAATTATGGGACGAGATAAGGTACCGTTGCCGACGAACGAGGTTGGTCGTCCTGTCGATGGGAAGGGTAAACCGATACCGACAAATGCTGCTGGTGTACCAATTGGTAACAACGGTAAACCGCTACCAACCAAGGGGAATCTGTATTATCTTGCAACTAGTATGCCAATGGCATCTAGCCGGCCAGTTATAGGACCAGAAAGAATGCCTTTGCCGACCAGTAGCGATAGTTCAATATTTGGAACTCATGGAAAATTGTTGGTAACAGACCAGAGTGGGTGGCCTTTGGACAAGCCTTTGCCGACAGATGTTTACAATAACATTATATATCCGGTAAAGTTACCTGATGGTTCAACTCTGCCAATTGATTCACATGGCAGACCAATTTATCCGGTGATTGGACCAAATGGAGAATTATTGCCAACCACGGAGGGTGGTTTGATCATCGGGTTAGGCGGCAGTCCACTACCAACGAACTTTGCCGGAAAACCTGTTGGACCAGATGCGTCATTGCTGCCCACTGATGAAATAGGCCGATTCATACATCTGCCTCCTGAGGAACCATTGTCGACGTTTGTAACGAACGAATATGGTCATATCGTCCACCCGATCGTGGATACGGATGGTAGGCCTTTAGCTAAGGATGACAGTGGCGCGCACATCACGAAAAATGGTATCCCAGTAGAACTCAATGAGAATCATCTTCCCATTGATCCTGATGGTAATGTTCTACCAACAGATTCAAGAGGAAATTACATTTTTCCGGATCTGGATGTTATGGGAAGAATACTGCCTACGGATAAGACTAGTCGAGTAGTAATTGGTCCAAATGGACAACTTCTTGCTACTGATTCAAGCGGTGCTGTTGTTGGGCCAGATGGTGAACTACTGCCAACAAATAAGCTCGGGAAACTAGTAAAACCAAACGGTAAACCTCTTCCAACGGATGATGAAGGACGTTTTATTTACAGTGAAGTTGCTGGAACTCATTTTACGGAAAAGGTGATTATCAATGTTATTGATAGTGAAGGTAGACCGTTGCCCACTGATCAATTTGGTCGATACTTACTAGCACCGAACCATCCCCTTCAACAGGATCGTTTTGGTAGATTGATCGGACCAGACGGTCAACCACTTCCCACTGACGGTTCTGGTAACTACGTGTATCCAGAGAAAATGAAATACCCGAATGAAGTGGATGATTTCGGACGTCCACTACCAACCAACGAAGACGGTTTCTATCTGCGAAAGGATGGTTCGATAATTACAACAGAATCGATAGGCCTGATGATGAATGGGCAAGGTGTGGTACTGCCTACTGACGAACATGGTATTTTCACTACGTCAAAATTTCCGATGCAAACGAAATCATACCAGATTTTAGATGAACAAAATCAAATACTGCCAACTGATGAGGTTGGTAATTTCTTAAATCGTGAGGGGTATCCGATTGCTGAAAATGAAGAGGGGAAACCAGTATCTGCAGATGGAGTAGTGTTACCTATCGCCGAAACGGGTCATTACATCTTTGATACTACTCGACAAAAACCTATGGTATCATCGGAAAAGTTGTTACCAACTGACAAGAACGGTCAACCAATCACCCAAGAAAGAGAAGAAGCACAGCTGAGCGAAAAGGTCCGATTGCCAGGGCTTAGTGATGGCATCCTACCAACAGATGAATATGGTAAATATATTTACCCGATATTAAAGCCAGATGGAAAACCGTATCCAACAGACCGAGGACATCGCCCGATTTATCCAATTATTGGATATGACGGCGAACTTCTACCAACGAATGACGAAGGATTGGCACTTGATCTTGAGGGATATCCGATCCCGACTGATAGTGTTGGACGTCCACTGGACGAAAACGGTGTAATATTGCCAGTGGATTCTAAAGGAAATGTAATTTATGACAGTGGAAAAAAGAATTGTGATACGCATGTGGGCGTTATGGATATTGCATTGGTAATTAACGTGGAGACTCTGAATCATGACAGTTTCGAACACATTAGGAGGGTGATTCAGGATCTAGTGGATAAACACTTCGACCTTGCACCGGATATGACACAATTTGCGCTGGTTAAATATAGTGGAACTGCTGAGGTACCAATTACTTTAGGTGGTTACAACGAAAAAATGGAACTGTTGGAAGAGTTAAGTCGAATCAAAATTGATCATATCAAAGAGCACCCCAGATTGATTGTCGGAGTAAGTGCTGCCAAACAACAGTTCACATTGTTTGGTCGCGAGGACGCTAGTAAGCTGATGATAGTGATAACTGATGGGCAAGATATGTAAGTTTTGTCGTCATTTCATATTTTGTTCCATATTTTTGCAAAATATCTCTTAAGGCTTTTCCTTAATGATAGGCCTTAGAAATTGTCGCATCTTTCTGTAGATAAAAAAAGAATATGTTAACAAACGATGGATTCAGGCATATATATTTGCAATATTTTAGATATTCGGAGGATCGCTTTAAAGACAACATTATCCCAATGCTTGTTATTGGCAGGAGAGAATTTGAAGAAGAAATTAAGGACTGGACTAAATCCTATATCTTATTAGATTCTTGGGAACAACTACGAGCTGATTCTATTGCTAAAATGATCGGAAAGGAATGCTTGCTAGGGAAAATTTTCATCCCAACGAAGAAAGCATTCCCAAAACCGAGATCTGAAAAGTCCGAAAACTTTGCTAGTTCACCATTTCCAACCGACAAACTTGGTCGTATTATAGTAGTACCAACTAGTGAGCGAATCTTTCTGTCTACCGATGAATACGGTCACATGATATATCCTATAAAAGATGCTGCTGGTAGACTTCTTCCCGTAAATGAAAACGGTTTAATGATGGACAGACTTGGGCGGTTAGTTGAATTCAATGATTATGGTAAACCAATTGGTCCAGACAGGAGGCCGTTGCCAACAGATGAATCTGGAACATATATTTATCCTGTACTTGACAGCAATGGCAAACCTGTATCCATTGATGCAGACAGTATTAATGAGAAGCCATTATCCACTGATCAGGATGGTCTACCCGTAGACGTCACTGGACGATCGATTGGCGCGAATTTGGCTGGAAGATACAGTGACCTTCAAGGATCGCCATATCCATTTAATAGCAATGAAAAAATTACGGCAAAAAGAACAGGAAAAATAACAGATACAACTGATTATCCAGTTATCGATCCGGATAATATCCTATTATCAAGGGATGCCTCGGACGTTTACGTAAACAATGTTGAAGGGGTAATTGAACGTGATAATAATGGGAAACCTCTAGGGTCTGATGAAAAACTGGTGCCGACCAGTGACATAGGAGGATTCATTTATCCAAAACTCAGTCAGAATGGGAAGCTTCCACGAAATGATTTACCAGACAAAGTGTTGCCGTCCAATGGATACAGCCGAGTCTATTTGGAGGATCCAGATGATAAACTACTCGCCACTGACGAATCTGGAAACTTTATCAACAGTCAAAATAGATCGTTACTCATCGAAATAGACCAGGAAGGTACGTCAGTAGGTGTTAAAGTTAAGCCAGATCAGATGCCAAAAGGACAAAAACCAATTGTTGATTTGTTGGGAAGATCCCTACCTACTAACAAACATGGCGATTCGATATATGCAGATGGTGGTGTAGTACCTACAAATGCTTTGAAACAACCCTTTGATCGAGATGGTTCTTTGGTGCCAGTTGATCATCATGAACAATACGTATCTGATTACATGCCAAATAGAACCGTTTTACGAGAAACGGAACTTTTGGCAGAAGCCTCAACATGTGATAAGATTAAAGGATCTGTGAACATAATTTTTATGGTGGAATCTTCAAGTGCTACAGAAACGAATCTTAATAAAATTAAATTTTCGTTGGTAAATTTTATTGAAGAAAATATTAATTGGAGCATTGCTAAAGTCGGTATGGTTTCCTACGGTAATACAGTGGATGTCAACCTGGATATCGGAAATTACCAGAGTTACGATGATTTGAAAGAATCCATTCTCAGTTCGCCACTTATCGGCGGTGCAGCATCTGGTGATGAACATGCATTCAGAACTACTCTTCAGCTCTTCCGTGAAAATTATAACAATAACAATGGAGAATTAATCGTACATATCTTTAAGACTCCGCTCAGGTTTATTTTTACCTAAATTATTATATTATCATTCTATCTATTGTTCCTATATTATCATTCTATCCACCAATGATTTTTTTTTTTTGCGTTATCACCGTTCCTATGCAAATAAGTAATCACCCTACATAATCACAGAATTAATTTCTTCGCAAAAATACGAATGATGACGCTACTGTCATAGCCATCGGTGTTATTATCAGTCATGTTATCTAGTCATTCCTAAGAAACATTAACATCACCATTATCTCTAATGGCTGTGATTAGTTGACAAGTATAGTCATTGTTCTAGTAATTCTTTGGAACCCAAAATATAAAATAAGTTTTAATTTTTAGCAAAGATGCTCAAGTAATTGCTAATCATTTGAAAGTAAACGAAACTATTTCAATTTTATCACTTGGACCAGATCAATGGTATCGATTGAAGAATGATGAAGAAATCAAAAAATTACGAAGCAATTTGTGCTTAATGTTGATGAAGAGTCATCTGGCACAAATTAGGAAGCCTAATGGTTAGCATATCTCCGTCAATTGATCATTAATATTACCAGCATTAAGTCATACATCGGATGTTTGGTCGAATCTAAGAATCAGTAATGCTTTTAACCAATGTATTAGTTTTTAAACAGTAATTTGTAGATATTCGGCTGTGCTTTGAAATCATCGTTAAACCACTGAACCATTTGAACCCTTCCTTAATATAATATATATATAAATAATACAGTTATTATTCAACATAGTATAGTTATTAGGCCCTTAATATAGTTATTAGGCTATTTGCTTTGTTTCGCAACACACAACTTTTTGGGCATCCATATGAAATGACCTTTTCAATCTCTTATTTCTTGTTAGTCCAGTAAGAGGTGGCTCTTGATTTGAATATTCATAATCGAAGTAACAAAAATGATTGGTCTTATTTGAGGAAAGGATAAACTTGAAAGTGGTAGCTGATTTTTTGTTTATCCTCAGTTATTTGTTATATAATATGTCATTTTCTTTCTCAGGTGAATTGAAGGGTAGGATGGAAACTGGTTTATCAAGAGATGAAAATGGTCACTTCATACATTCGACTGCTGGCAAAAGTGATAGACTACTTGCTACCGATAGTTCTGGTGCCTCGATTGATTCATTTGGAAGACTTGTTCTCCCTGACAATGATGGCATCCCAATCGGTCCAGGCGGCAAATTCTTGTCAAAAAATGATCAAGACCGGTACATACATCCTGCAGTTAGAATCAACGATATTCTATTACCAACATATGCGGACAATCGGTCACTATATCCAATTAAGGGATCTAATGGACAACCTTTACCAACGGATAGAACTGGAAGAGCCATCGACAATTCTGGGAAACTGATACCAACAGATGAAACTGGAAAACCGATTGGACGAAGTGGATCATCACTCCCAACCGACAGCAATGGATGGTTCCTGCTGGCTGAGGAGGAAATAGGAAGAGTATTATCTGAGAATATTATTAACGATGATCGTGTGATTTATCCGAGTACTGGTCCAGATGGAAATTCTTCCCCAACTGATAGTTCTGGCACCTATGTTCGTTATGGTAATCAAAGAGTACTTGATAATTCCGAAAAACCACTGAAATCGAGTGGCAAACTGCTGCCAACTGATTACAGTGGTAAATACATATTTGGAACAACTAACCCGAATGGTATGCTGATCAATGAAAATGGAAGATCAGTTTATTCAGATCTATTCGGATCAGAAGGAAGATTGCTTACAACTGACAAAAGTGGCGCGTTGTTTGGTCGTACTGCAGAAGTGATTCCAACGGATAAATACGGAAGGCTAATTGGTGCCGACGGGTTACCAATCACGATAGATTCCAACGGCAAATTCTCGTCAGGTCAGACTAAAAAAACTTCAGCTGACAAATACAATCATATCAACTATTCAGAAGCCAACGGAAGCTTTTTGCCGACTGATGAATCTGGCGTATTATCGGACCCATTGGGAATACCTCTACCTACTGATGATACTGGGAAGCTTTTGAATCAGGATGATGTTTTACCAACGGACAAGTATGCCAGATATCTCTATCCTAATGTCAGACAAAATGGAAGAATTGTTTCGAGAAAGAAGCTGAAAGGACCAATTTATTCCACTAGAGCGACAGTAATGGCAGGAACAGTGATTCCAACGGATGACCAGGGATTCTATATCTATCCGGCACACCAACCGGATACAATGCTGCCATCAGCGGATGCACAAAATTTACCGATTACGGCAGTGGATGGTCAATCACTACTCTCAGACAGCGGTGGAAAGCTCATAATATCTGATGGCAGGCCGATACCAATGAGTAGTTTTAGGCAAACAGTCGACGTCGATACAATGGGCAACGTCAGAAATTTTATTTATCCTGCCATCGGATCAGATGAGAAACTACTTCCGACCGATGATTTCAGAGATCGCAACGATATGTTTAGCAAATCCGTTCCGACAAGTGGTAAAGGTTTGTCGAGGAATAGAGATGGAGTCGTCCAAGCTGATGAATACATTCATCCAGCAATTCCAGATAGCCAATCTCCTCCAAGAATTGACAGTGGGCATCCAACTGACAGTAATAAAAACATTTCGTCTACTAAAACTAACCATTACAACATTTTGAAGACTATTTCGGACACGTTCATACCAACAACTTCTGGTTCTTTGTCGTTCGTGATCGTGTTTCCGGATGGTCGTCCATTATATGTCGATGAGAATGGTGCTTACCTCGATGACAAAGGACAAAGTTTGGTTCATATTGATCAAAATGGTCGTCCTGTAGCATCAGCTGATGGGACACCACTGCAAAAAATTGATAGTGGCAAATATCTCTATCCATATGAAAAACCAATATTTGCCAATGTTGGCAACGATGATCATCCATTACGAACAAATCCCGATGGTCTTCAAGTACAATTAAATGGCAAAAAGGGACCTACTAATGGCTATGGCAGGTCATCTCCAGAAGGTGAACATAGGAGCTACATGTGGAGTATGGAAACGACAGCGGGATATCATGCATCAACACCTTCCGGGTGAGATGAATAGTATCATTTGTAGTTTGCAAATAATTTTTCTTTTGAATCCAAGCTTTCTTTATTTATTGAATTTGGCCAATTATGAAAGATAGCAGGGATGAAAAATTGATAGATTAATTCTGAGGTACTGATCTTTTACTGCACGATTGTCTGACAAGAAACTATAAACTTCCCTGCTGATTGCAAAATGTGCGCTTTATGTTAATTGTCAATCGATCGTAAACATGGGAAATGGAATAATTTAAATTTTTCGCAGCAGAATCAGCACTTGGACCAGTTCATCGCCGTATTGTGTGGTCAGTTCAAATGTTGACATCTTACTCATCTTGGATTCATCGAGCAGTGTCAGGGTTGTTGATTACCGAATTATGAAAGATTTTATCAAGAATTTCCTAGTTAATTACTTCAACCTACAGCGCAATTATGTTCGTGTCGGTGTTATGAAATATGGCGATAAGGTTGGTCATCCCAATTTCAAATATATAAAATCTTGAAAACTTCATTTCGTATTTTCATGCCCTGTATGCATTCTTTTACAAATAATTAGGCTACAAAAAATAATGCGATTCGATTTTCAGATGGCACAATTTCAGGTTCAGATCCCGGTATCACTAGGTGATTACAATACTCAGACCGAGCTCTTGTCAAGGATTAGTGAGACCAGACGTATGCGTGGTGAAGCTAATCTTGGTCAGGCTTTGCTTGACGCTTCTGGAGAATTCCTTATTTTCGGATCCAAGGATATTCCTCGCATCGTAATTATATTTTCATATGGGCAACCTAGGTATTAATACGTATCTTAATACTGTTCTTATATATTAATCTTTAACGACCCTTTTTACTAATGTTATTTTTAGCGGTTTTTCGACTTCTCAAAAACTAAGAAATTCATTCACATCCAGGTAAACAAATCTGAATCTGGTTTTGGGTGGCAAAAAAGAGTTTAGGCCGAGTTTATTGCAGTTATCTAAAAAAATCAAACAAATAAAACTGTCTGTTATGAAGGAAGATTTGATAATCATGAGGATTGATTTCAGTAATTGCGAAAACTCATATTTTTCCAATTTCGAATTTGAAGGGGTGAATGGAAAGAGAATGCTCGTCTGCTACGAGATGATACAAAAGCTCACATATTCTTAGTGGATGTTGGAAACCAAGGTGACAAGACACAAAATTTGGCTATTGTGGGTGAATCGAATCCACATCGGATTATTACTATCGATGAATGGCATGGAGTAAATTCAGAGATTCTGAGTCCTTTTATGGATGAGTTATGCAGGGTGAGTAATTTTTGTAAAAGATCCATTTCCGAATCCTCTTCTAGATTTTTTTATCAGATCGAACTTACAAGTGATCATATCTTTTGCCATTTCTTGAGAGTTATGCTGAAGTCATACATTGTTGCGTTCCCTTAGAATGCTCTATTACGTCTGGTGATTGTTGCAAGCACTCAAACAATGATAATTGTTATTGGTATCTTTCAGGTATTTCAATTAGGTCGGACTTTTCAATTGTTTGAGTGCTCGGATGAGTGCTTATTATCAACCATTCTTTTAGCTACTGCCACAAAGACAAGATAAAACAAGTAGAGATGGTACTTGGCCGACAAGACAAACCGAAATGCGAGTTGCAACTCCTGTACGCATTTGCAATCGAGTTGATTTTCAGGTGAAAACCTTTTGACCAAGAAATAAAATATTTAAAATTTCTCATTCACACTTGCATTACAGGAGAAGAAAAATGCTTTTTTACTAGTAACTGTCATAATCTATCCTCGTTTATTATATCGTTTTCTTAAAAGTATCAGTTTAAGGCAGATGTAATGTTTATCCTGGATTCCTCCGACAATGTAACGTCGGAAGAATACTCTAATTTGAAAGAAGGTATCAGTATGTTAATCGATGAAATATTTGATTTATCACCAGATATTGTTCGTGTTGGCTTCGTCGAATATAGGTATTAGATTTGCAGTATAATTTAAGAAAAGAAATCGATAATCTTAATCTTTCTGGAAAAGAAACATCTCTTTCTTTGGAACTAATATGCAAGTTTTTTTTTCCTTTTTGTTTTCAATTTGAATCATTTTCCTGTGATGAGTGATAAAAAATCTGCTGCATTTGAAATCACTAGTTTTTCTATAAAAAGATTTTCGAATATGGCAACTCATAATTTCAGATTAAATTTTTGCATCAAATATTTCTAAATTATCGATATCCAATGAGTTGATTAAATAAAATGTTTGATGATTTACCCTTCTGTAAGTATCCTAGGGTATTTATCTCGCCTTCAACCATAAACTTGTAGTTTGAGACTTCGTCTATGCAATAAAGCAGCAGTCAGATGGACAGGATCACATTGGTTTCATTTTCTTATTTCTCAGCTCGTTATTTGCAGTGATAAGGCGTCAGTTCCTGTACCGCTTGGCTATTACGACAATAAAGTGCAACTTTTGGCAGATATATCAAACAGTGAACAACTTGGTGGTACGCCAATTATTCTAAGAGGTCTTCGCGCTGCCAAAGAACAGTTTCAGCGACATGGCCGGGATAACGTCTCAAGAATTTTGCTCTTGGTAACAAGTGGCGCTAATCGGTTCGTGTGTTAATTTATGCAATAACCATTGGCAATAAAACATCAGATGAAAATCATTGATATGTGCTTTTTTCATTCACATGACAGTTCCAGCATAAAATGCTATAACAGTTTAAACAAACTAAATATTATTGTATGAAATTAACTCGATTCTGCTGTTTAGTTGCTGTAGTAAGATAACATCTAACGTGGTGCCTATGTTATGAGAATCGTTACTTCAGACTGTTTATATGCAGATAGTTCTTGTTTGACAGTCACACCTTTCAGCGGCAATATATATGCAGATAGTTCTTGTTTGACAGTCACACCTTTCAGCGGCAATGTAGCTTTCGCAGCAGATGATCTTCGTGAACATCTGAATGTAAGCATCTTTGTACTGGTTGTGAACGCATCTCAAGGGGCGCAAATAATGCTGAATCGTTTGACGAGTGATGAATACACTCAACAGCGAGTGATATCAATTTCTAGCGCTAATAAACTACAAGAAGCAGAACTGCTACAAATTGGACAAGCACTTTGTGGTGGTAGTGACATGGGCGCTGCTACTATTTGGCCAGCACAGGGAGCTCCACATCGAACTACAAAACGTGATGCTCCTTACGCTGAATCAAAACACAAGCAAGTTTTATAGAACAGTTGATGTTAATCGTTTTCACTTACTGACACTGATAATAAGAGACTTATTCAATCATAATATTGCTATTGATAACATTTTCGACAAGCTAATTTGCTTATACATAATTAAAATTCGGTTTTTTTTTTGTTCGTACTTATTTGTCACTCATTGATTCTTCATTTTAATAATTTATTCCAATGGTTTCTTAAAACTCTGTCGATTAGGAAGGATAAAATATCTCGTTCGTCACTGCGCTATTGGAAAACAACAACCGAGCACTTTACTCCCACACCACTTTGTAAGGACGGTTTCTTACGCCCATACCAACTTTCAATTGTCGTCGACAATACCGCAAGATCGCCTGAGAAAGTAAAACAATTCTATTTTAAAATAATTCAGGTTTTTACGGTTGCATAATTTTTTTCCAGAAATTCTTCATATCTTTGTTTATATTTGTTCCCTTTGTTTTTGCTGTATTGTTTTCCACAATGTGCATTAGCAATACATGAAGGTAAAATTTTAGGATTTCCGCCTAGTACTCAATCATGTTGCTAATTTTTTGAAAATGCGGTTTCCACCAGCAAGCAGACTTATGCAACTGAATTTGATAGGCGTTGATAGTGATGGTACCAATTTGAAGGCAGTGAATTTTGGCGTTGATATGGTTGATGAAATTTTTGCCAAATTAATGCAAAAAAAGCGAGTTTTATTTTTAAAAAAAAACCTTCAGATTCTCACAAAAAACTCTAAAAGTTAAATGAAATTTCTATGTGATATGGCGTTTCAACTGATTTATTCATTGTTTGATGCAAATTTCTGTCCAGCTTTACAGTTTGATTGATGTATCATTTCTGTTGACAAATAGAATAAAATTTTGCAGAGGTGATAAAATATCTCCCAAACTTGGCCGGGGAATTGATGAAGTGGTGTTGTTAGCTAAAGAGCACGTTGTGAAAGGAGTCATTCAGATAATTCTGATCATTAGTGCAGATGGGACAAGCAGGTATTGCAAGCTTTTCTTACATTATTCATGAAAAAGTGAAATTCTTCCTTCATCAAATAATACGAAAAATATGGAGGATTAGTTAATGATTTTTCTTTTACTTTTCGTTTTAGTGATGATGCAATACAATCAGCAGAGTATGCAAGAGATCAGTATGGCATTGTTGCAATCTCGATAAAGGCTCCATCTAGCGAACTTTTGAAGGAATTATCATTGGGAAGTTCTGCCAAGTTTGTTTTGCATTTTTCTTCTATGTTCAATCAACTTTTTTTGTCTTTTACTTATTGTTCGTGAACTAACATTTTAGCTTTCAATTAAAAAGAAAAAATTGCTGATCCAATACATTAATATGTAAATTCCAAATTTGGAACCATAAATTGAAAGCATTGATGATAAAGCTCTTGCATACTTTACATTAAACGGTTCTAAGGATGACAAATTTTCACAAACAAGAAATTGAGTTTTGTAGGGTGATTCACTTCCCAGACTGGTCGATTGGAAATGAATTATTTCAAAGCTGGATTGCTCATGCTTTTTGCAGTTATCCTTCTACATCAATAACAAGGAAGGCTAAATTAACGCACATGACTCGACCACCAATTCGAAAGACTTGTACTATTTGTGTATATTTGTGTATATTGTTTTAACAACTAATTTTCTGTGTATTAAACACAGAGTTGCTAAAATAACTTAACTGATAGAAATTTGCCGATAATTGCAACCATTTTAGCTCTTTGCGGCTCACTGATATGGATGGTTTTTCCATGTTTTATTCAATTTTATTCCACCTGAACTCCAAGCAAGCAAAAATTATGTTTGCGTTTTAGCCTTGCCTGAACATCGTCTTAGAAATCCATGTATTTCAACTTTTTTTTTTACAGAGAAGTAGAAGTAAATCTGTGCAAAACGATTTGTAACGAAATTTTTTTAATTTTATGATCATCTTTTATAGCAACAATATCAGTGAATGACGCGACCAACGTTGAAGTAACACCTTTGAGTCCAAATTCACTGCTCGTCTCATGGACTTGTTGTACGAATAACAAAGCAGTCAGTTATTAATAATGTTTGCTTTCCGACAACAATTAAACTACATAATTAGTGTTTGGCCTATCATTTTCTGGCCTCCTATAATATTCTCCTATAATATTGCTTGTTACAAACTCTCACTATAAAGGAAGAGTTGAAATTACCTACCAGTATTGTATTTTCAGGACATTAGAAATTTCCAATTTATTAAATAGTATGAAACTTCTCAAGTCCTAATTTGAACCGTTTTACCATGAACGAAAGGAAATTTTGATGCTAAAATGTATTCAACTATACTGTTCAGGACTACATCATTTTGTACACTCCGGATCTATCATTGTCGAAAGAATACTGGCAAAAATTGAATGCAACCTGCCGTGACAGTTTTGGAAAAAAATTGATGGCCTGCCGTCCGATAATACGTATACTGTTTGTGTTGAGACATTTCAACGGTCTGCTAACAAATCTGTTCCACTTGATTTGAACAAATGTGGAACTGTAAAACTCGACATTGGTGAATTACTTTACTTTACTATGAAATTGAAGAACAGTTGTACTAAATGCTATCAGATTTTACAAGAGATGTTTCCAATATATTAGAGACTGATTTAACAGTTGAACTATTCAAAGAAAAAAGTTCATTTGGTTTAATTTTATTGGCAAATTAAATTTGAGATACTACCGCGCCACTGCATCAAAAACCGTCGGATAACCAATCGATAGCACTATGTCAATGTATATGTGCAAATAATGGCGAAGCTTTGGTAAAGCCGACATGCGAAACGCTGATGGATCCGCTGCGTCCAGTGGCTACTCTTCCACCGGCTATAAATGGTGAATGTCCATGTAGTATGCCTTCGAAAGGTGGACGATGTCCGATGGGATACTTCTTCAATCGTGGACAATGCTACGGTTAGCTAGTTCTCTCTAATAAAGGAGTTTTAATTAAATAGACTTTGTATTTGTGATGCTAAACGGCCTTCGAATTTTCATCTTCTAAATGAAAAAATGCACAAATCCGATTTGATAATGCATAAAACTTTATAGTTACGAAAATAGTACATTGGAACAGAGTCACAGATTTTAGATATCTCTATATCTTAGCGATATACAAAGCCTATATTAATATATGGACTGAAATGCATTTGGATTGTTCATTCTGTGAAATGCAGAATTCTCTTCATCAGATTATTGCAAGGAATTCTGTGGGTAAAATTTATCACTTGCTGACATCTTTTTGAGGTAATATTAAACCTCCGGTATGCTGTATGTTTTGGTGCACTTCATTAATGAAAGCATAAGAAAACTTAATTTTAAGACGTAAATGAATGTCAACAACAAAACGGCGGCTGTTCACATGGCTGCGTGAATATTCCCGGAGACTTTTACTGTGCATGTCCACATGGCATGATGCGTGACCCAACGAATCCAAAAATATGTATCAATGTTGCGGGCAGTTTCGATCGAATCGCAACGCTGTTGAGTCATTACCTTCACGCAAACCTATATAATGCAAGTGCTACCAGCGGTGAAAAAAGTGATACGCAAATTAATGGCAAAATAATTAGATATAAAGTCAGTGATTGCTTGTTTTTGAATCTTAAGGAATTATTAAATCAACAAATCCATGCTTTAGGATCTCTAAAAATCTGTAGAGACTCATGAATTCTAGAATCTCATTTGCGCCTTTTCAGATCGAAGATATAAGTATTCGTTGAACAATATTTTTCTTAATATTTCTTTAATTAAACTTACAACTTGATAGAATATTGAGCAATCAAATGCAAGTTAAGAGAAAATTTCTGAAAAATCAACGTGTAGGAAAATCACAATTGAGCAATGTTTGAAACTATTAATGTGAATCATACAGGATGAGATTTTTAGAGGATGTAAAAATGATCGAAGTCGATCGCTCATTTTTCATGCTTTGAATAGTAGTGAAAATGAAGTATCCGACCATTCTAAATTTAATTTATCATAATATCAGAAAGAATCTGCACTGAATAGTTACTTTTAATTGAAGAAATAAATAACATTTCTCTTTAAGTATTATCAACTGATAACGCGTTTTTATTTTTCCATTTATTACCCTTTGCACACTGGTTCCCTCTATTTATTTTTTGAAAATTTCCGCTTTATTGTATTTTATTCATTTATTTTTTTCCAGTTATCACTCCTTTGATCATTATTCCACTCTTTTCTGGATCAAATTCTGATTTCGCATAATTTTAGGCAACAGTGAAATCAGAAGATGATAATGCGATATCATTTGAATGGTCATTGGTGCCAGGAGTTGTACGGAGGGCATTCAAATGGCTATTTTGAAAATTGCCGAGGAAAATCACACAAATTTTTCAGTTTCCGAAAGTGAAGAAGAATAAACCTTTTGCGTACTTTTGTTACTACCGTTATCGTTATCATTCATTTAGTATAACAGTTGTTTATCGAAGTCGGAGTCGTCGCTATATCTTTCATACATATTATTCGATGCATAACCCTTCTTTCTATTCAAATCTCTTTTTTCATATTTAGCACATGTTTATTTACTTTATTCTTAATTTAAACAGTGTTTTTTAAATAACTAAGATTTTGGATTTGCGAGGTATCAAAAATTTTTCACAAAAATCAATATTTTTAGCAATTGTGAAAAATTTTTTTGCGTGTTGCAATACATGGGAAGGAGTCATTCTATCCGTTAGTTATTTGTGTTTTACGCAGGTCACGTGAGTATGTATACACATATGCGATCCTATGAGTGCGTAATGTGTGTTTGTCATTAGATCTCGATAAACGACATTTTAATCAGTCTACTGCTATCAACCTAATATTATCTGTAATTTAATCAATATTATCTGTAATTTAATTATTTTGGTCATTTTGCCATATTTCTCATTATGCATCGTCATTTGTTCGATGTATGTATCACTGTATTTCTTTCCTCTTCTTATCACAGTTATATCACCTTCAGGCTTTTCTCACTGCTCCTACTGCTAAACGTCATCGATATATCATTCAATACTTCAAAAATAGTTGTATGAGTTTTAAAACGGATTCATCAGGAATGCAAACCTTATAGACTTGGAAAAATAAATAACAACATTCTTTGGTATATTTATGCTACTGATTTTTACTAAATAGTTGTGTAGATAGTGCTGAAAATTATATCACCGATCATTATGGTTCCCTCAGTTAGAGTCGAAATAAATCTCCAAGCTCATTATTCGTTACTAATTATGAAATGGTGTTCAAGATTTTTATTCTCTTTATTGAGTCTTCCAGAAGCTCTTGCACTGCTTAGCATCTTTACTGCCAAAAACTGTTGTGATAATCTATGAGATCATTGTATGTTTTGCTTCTTAAAAGCCAAATGATGTTTGCTCGTAGTAGACAGAACTAGCAATAAAGTATTCCTTTAAGACAAATTGAAGTGCAGCCTCTTTTCTGTCCTATGAGAAAATATCTTAGAAACTTTGCGCCTCGATCTTACCCTAAATATGACAGCAAGTTGGCCAACAGAGCACCAAATCACAGTTGTGCAGTCGTAAAACATATTTCCATATGAAGTTAATATAGGAATGTCAGATATTTCATGGTAGAATAGGAGAGGAATTTTATTAACATTATGTATTCAATAGTGACGGTCCGTTGTAAGGTGGTGCTGTCATATATTTAAAATCAAGAAGTAATCGATAAATTTGAAAATAAGCTATTCAGTTGGAAGAACTTCCACCCGACGATGCCGCATGTCATATTCCTCATTCCTTCTTCCCAGGTATACACAAAAAGATGTGCACTCCGCTTGAGATGTCTAGACACAGAAGAGCTATTTCTATTTGCTCCTGATGCTATTTCATTTCATTCTTTCGTATTTGGACCAAGACATATGAAAGGGGTGATGTCTCATATTCTGAAGAGGAAGTACTTCGCTAATATAGGACCGTTGGATTTGTTTAAGAGTACCCGAGTTTCTAAATTACAGTAAAACTTCGAGACTTTTTCTCTACTTCAAACAAAATCTCCCTTAGACGACAGAGTTTCATAACGGGGCTCCATCGTGATGGGCTTCATCAAAACAGTTTGTCGTTTTCAACATTGTTTTATGTGTAACTTAGGTGGTGGGCTTATCGCTCGCCAGGATTTCAATTAATTGGAGGGGTAGAATTAAGTGACAAGTTAGTTTGCATAAATGTAATAAGTGGAACTATGTCGAGTTGCGCTGAAGGAGTGAACGTTTTAGACAAAATGATCCACATTACACTTTTATTTTCGAACATTCTTCGTTATATTTATTTGCACTCTTCCCATAAACATATAGAGTGATGGAGGACACCGACAACGACTCGTCTCGGAGTTCTACTCGAGAGCCTAGCCCTTCATACTTTAACGGTGCGAATTTTCATTTATTTTTTATCTTTAATATTCCATTGTCCAGCTTCAAGCTTTTGAAGAGTTGAAAAGTTACTTATTAATTTAACTTCGCATTAATCGAATATAATTAAGAAATTCTGGCTCAATTTTGAAGGGAGCTCGTCAATGTTAGCCTCTTGAACGGCCTGATGAAAGTAATGTCGTCTTGCAAATATTCGCCTTTTGTAATCACGTAGGCATAAAATATTTATCGGTTTTTTTGGTCCATTATTAAATTCCCAATAACATCAACCACTAATATAAGTATAAACGAAATAATAAAAAATATAAACGAATAATAACTACATCAAAGCAAAAAAAAGAAAATATAAACTAATATAAACGAATAATAACTACATCAAGAATTAAATGTGCAAAAGTAATTTGAATAATGTAGCGCATTCAAATTACTTTTGCATATTTAATTCACTAAGATGACATTGGAAAAGAAATTACAGATGAGGAGAGTTTGAGAACAGCTGTAAGCGACGAAGATTGTGAAGAGGAAAATCGTAATACTAGTTCCAGTTCGTCCGATGCGGATACTGAAGAATTCTACCGAAATCATCCCTGTGCTACCAATGAGCGTAATTTTTGATATGTCATTTCTCTAACTAAATTTTCAAATGAGTCTTGCTGATTTCAATAAATTCATTGTTTTTTTTTTTTTTTTTTTGCATTTGAGAAGTGGAAGAATATAATTTGATGACGGAGACTAAATTCAGGAATCTATTCCAACCAATGCGAATGAGTTTTTTGCTATTTTTTAACATTACTTCTTTTAAATTTATTAAGCTTCAAATTATTTCGGGTCAAATATTTGCAGAACCAAACACTACCTTCTCTTGCATCGTAACATAAAGCTGCACCTTTTTTTTCCTTTTTTTTTCTGCAAAATGTGTTTGCAGCATGGTACATTCATCATTCTCATTTGGTGGATCAAACTAATGATGCAAAAGATGAACATGATGATATTTCAGATGATGATTGTAATTCGACTGTTGCTGGTATGTGAAGCTAGCCTGAGGAGTTACTTTTGATTGTTTTCTACATTGGCTTGCATACTAACATTACTTTTTGTTTTATTAATTTAGATTGTAATGATGAACCATTTATACCGCCATCAGAACGTGCTGATGCTCCTTTGGCAGGGATTCTGCAGAATCCTGAACTTGATAAAGTCAATCCAAGGTAATACTTTGTAATTGCTATTGCAACGTTGATTCTAAGCAATATTTCGTTACATTTTTTAGAAGTGTTTATTTTCAATAATCATAATTTGCCTTTAGGCGATTTTTCCCAGAATACTCACCCAACAAAGTCTTACGATTTTCCCGTCTTTTCGGAGCTAACATCAAATCTTCATCGAAAACAAGAATTTGGTGGCCATCAAAAACTTTTCGAGCAAACGTTATTTTTCGATACATTTTATTGATACAATTATCTAATTTGTTATAACGGTTTTATTCTATTTTTGCTTACATATGAACAATATTTATAAAATTCGCGACATATTTGAAAACTTACACGAATTTAATCTTCTCTGTCAATGAAATTGGCAATTTTATAGAGCCCCAAGCAAGAGGAAGATGAAGAGGCGATAGGAGCAGTAAGCGTAGAAGAGCCGCAGGTATTCAGAAAGCCTATAGAAGTGAGTTCTTCACTGATTAAAAAGAAGCATCCTACTAGGAATGTATTTCATTTACGAAAGTTGGAAATTTCCTTGCTGTAATGATGTTAGGTTTTTTGGACTTTTCGGTTCTACTTTTACAGATTTTAGCTCACGGAAACATCGCAGTTTATTGAAACTTACGGTCCGAAGTTAATATTTGGAGATCCCCCTGCTCCAGAGGATTGTCTTGTGGATGATGAAGTTCTTTTAAAAAGACCTTCAATTTCGACTGTATCGGCTAGAAATGGTAATGATGATGGCGACGTGAATGATATATCGCCGTGGAGGTCTCTGATGTTTAGACAAATTCCCGATCAAATTGACTTGGTTTTGCTACATATATTTCATTTTAAAAAAATGTTGTCTTTTCTAACTTTCTCAGATTTCCGCTACTGATTTTAATACATGTAGATTTTAGATTCGGTCCCGCGCGTATTTGGTATGATTCAATGAATGTTTTGTCTAATCCATCTCATTTCGATTACGGGTTCAAACTGAAACGTGAGGTGTGTGCTTTCAACAATTTTGATAGCAGCTATCCCAATTTCCAGTTGAATGAATCACATTTTTACAGCAGTCGTTGCGAAAAAAATGTATCATGAAGGATGAGAAGAATGATAAAAGTGAAGATGAAGTGATCGAGGAAGACATAGGTCCTGGATTGGCAGCGAGTGAACCATTCTCTCCTGAAACATTCCTTCCTGTAAATTTGATTCGGTGGGAAGATGACATAATACTCGATGAAGAACAGGCTAGACAACAGGTTTTCTTCCAGTTCTAAATTTGTTCAAATGCTTTTCGTAATCTTGCAAGGAATTGTGCACTAATGAAATTAGTTTTTTCTTTTCTTAGAAAAAATGGTTTTTCAGATTTTGAAAGGTTTGGCTTCTCAACCACCCGACAAATTGCCTGAATGTGGTTGGATACCCACACAGCAAACGAGAAATTACGAATCTTTTATAACAGCTTGTGAGTTTTGGTTCTCCTTTCCATTTATTTGTCATGTTATTATTGAGTTTCTTGAAAGCTCTGACTTACATTGGTGTGATTCCTTAATTTTTGAACACAGGTTATAAATTTCGAACGTAAACATATTCAGTTAACTGTTTGAGTTTGTTTTTCAGTTAAAACGCGTGCATTTGAACAAATGTTCTCGAAACCAGGCACACTTCCTTCATTAAATAGTGTGAATTTGGGTTAGTGGTTTGTGACTGAATTTTTTTGGAAGCAAAACTGATGTGGAATAATTATCGCGGATTTCACTTTTCAGTTATGCTGGCTTAAATTCCATTTCTCTCTGTGACGACAGAGAAAATCTCCAGTGCTCTGAAATATCATTTGTCGAAATTTGAACTAAGATTAATAATCATGGCGTTATTCACCAAAAAAATGATCGCGACTGTTAAACAGTCATGTTTTTTCTTCGATATAAAAGATTTTTTGACGGGAATCACTGCTTCATATTTTATGAGCAATAAAAGAAAAATAGCAAGTGTTTTTTGCGTTCTACAGAATCACGAACTGTTGTAGGTTTCGACTTTGGTTTGGAACAACATAAATTTAAGCCGTAATTAAGTTTCGAAACATTGGAATTTATAAGTTACGAATTTATCTGAGATCGATCAGTACTTTCTCCATTTACCTTCAATGATTCAATGCGCTGATCTACAGCTCTTAATTTTTAAAATCTATTAATGTGTGTTAAGATTTTTGCAATGTTTTAGATTTTCCAAAAGAACCAACTCCCTCTCATTCTCTTTTTCCTATGGAAAACTATGATTTACTTTATACAAGATGGGAAGATGACATTATATGGGATTCAGAAAATATGGATCATATACCAGGTATGCTCCATAATTATGCAGAGAGAATAAACGAAAACAGTGTGAAATAACTGAAAAGATTTTCAATCTTGTAACAGCAATACTTGAAATACCATGATTGCAATAGATGATACTGCTAAAGACTCTTTTCTTCTGAAATGCACTTACATGACGTGTAACAAATTGATCATTATCAATTTCTCAGTTTAGAGCCGAAACTCCTTACTCTTGATTACTCAGACGACCCAAAATTGTTTGGTATGCCAGAAGACAAAGCGACTGAGGATAAGATTCAGGATGGTGAATTACCAAATCCACCAAAACCGTTCGATCGGAAGGTAACCGTTCCATTACTATCAAAGTTCGCAATTAGGTTTTCATGCAACCAAACAATCATCTTCTGTATTGCCAAACAAAACTTGGTTATTGTGATCGCTAAAGAAAATTATGCAGGAGCATCAATTCACAAAGAAATCCAAAATGATTCTTGGTCAAGTGCAACAACGACAGAAGCAAGAAGAAGATGAACAAATGGAGAGTTCAATCGCTCAGCTGACTGACAAAGATCCATTTAACCTTAGCAATGATGATTATTACAGACCTAAAAATGTTGAAAGGTAAGGTTGTCCGTGTCCATTTCTTGAGCTGACTTTACTGCATTAACATTTGTTGCAGCATCATAAATTATCATGATTTCCTTCACATTTAAAATCTGGTTTTATGAACTTATTTTGAAAGGGTCAAATGTTATCTTATACTGAGCTAACTGGCAAAGATCCATTTAACTTTAAAAATAATAATTATTATAGACCTAAAAGTGTTAAAAGGTAAGGTTCATCGTTAATACTTGTTACAGCGTCATAAAGTCACATGATTCTTTTTTTTCCTATTTTGCACCTTATAGGACAGTCAGTTCCGTTTCTGGTAGTTCACTTATTCAGCACTCACTACCTGCGCAGAATATACATCGGACGTTTTTCCCGACGCATTTGAATCCATTTAAATTGCGGCATTATCATCGTTTACCTTTGTCTAAGCGGATCTTGCGAACAACAGGCACCCGCCTCGTGTCTGTTAAAACATTAACCAAACTAATCAAAGAAAAAGAAGAAGTAACTGGTTTGAAATATTATACTTTTTTGGCTGAAGTCAAAAATATATGTTGAAGAAAAGAACTTTGAAAACTCTCTAATTTTCCATAGATCCTTTTAACACTTAATCTTTATATTTAATTTCAAGTTTCGTGAAAAACAGAAGGCAGCAGAAGGAGGAGGTGAGATTTTTTTTATGCGCGAAGTGCAAGATCTGTCGGGTAAGGATAGCACTCTCTTATTGATGGAATATTCTGAAGAGCATCCACCATTGCTCAATCAGCCCGGGATGGCCAGTAAAATCAGGAATTATTACAAACGGGTAAGTTTAAATTCCTACTCAGTTTTCCTTCATCTATTTTACTGAGCTATCAAAATCCTTGAACTTTCACTTAATTAATTTTATACCGAGTATTAAGATGCCGAAAAATATCTGCTCACCACCCAACTTGTCATTCCAATCTGTCCCTTGCTAAATTATTTATGGAACAGCGCATCAAACAGAAAACTGTGGTATCTACTCACCGCACTTTGGTTAATTTTGTTCAGTGAACACAGATATCCCGTTTCTTTTTTTTTTTTGTGAAATTATAGTTGATATCTCTGCAGAAAGTTGGAAAAGAGACAGATCCAGAATATGAATTTGGTGAAACCGCTTTCACACACACTTCTCCATTCTTGGGTTCTCTTGCACCAGGCCAAGGTTTGCAGTCGTTGGAGAACAATTTGTATCGTGCTCCCATTTACAAACATTCATCGAATCCAAATGATTTTCTTCTTATCCGTACAAAACAAGGGTAAGTTATTGTTGGTTGATCTTTGAGTTCATTGTCTTACACTGAGTTAAAAATCGAGAAATCTGCTCGTATACGTCCTCTTTGGTGGAACCAACGAATGAACGTTGAATATTTTTTTACACTGAATTTTTATCGATATCTGAAAATTTTGGTCAGACATCTTTAAGCAAATTATTGATTGGAATCATAAACTCCCAAACAGACGATTCGCTGGTCTCGAAAACCATTCGGTCTTATTTTGGTCCATCCCGATAATATAAAAGTAAATCTTAGATTGAAAGAAATGAAAGCATTCAATTTGATATCATTATTTGTTTTTAATACTGTTGATGGGTTGAGCTATGTATGTGTAAATTCCTAATAAGTTTATGAGCGGAAAGTTACAGATATTTTATCCGTCACTGCCCGACCTTATTTCTTGTTGGTCAGGAGTGTCCATTGTATGAAGTACCAAGTCCGAATTCGAAGCGAGCAACAGTTTTTGTCCGGGACTTTTTGCTGGCTTATATTTATCGACTTTTCTGGGCCAGTGGTCAAAATCCTAGAAGGTGAGAATTTTCATCAGTTTAACAATGTTTTGAGTTTTTTTGCCTGTTATTGGGAAAAATGAGCCTTCTTTTCGTTCTGGCAAACAGTATATCTGTTTTAAGTAAGCTTTTTGTTTATTAAAAATAAGGGGAAATTTCCAATTTCCCAACAACAAGCAAAAACTTTTGCTGAGAATTTTTGCTTTAATTCAGATTAAAAATGGAGGACATCAAAGAAGCATTTCCTCATTACGCTGAAAGTTCGGTGCGCAAAAGGTTAAAACAGTGCTCAGATTTCAAGCGATTGGGACAAGGTCCTGACCAAAACTACTGGGTTAGTCATTGAGTTTGGAGGGATATAGAGCCTTTATAGTTTTTTCTTTAAATGTTGTTTTTACAATAGTTCTCGGAATCAATATTTCAACTGTATTTCGACACCGTAACAATTCTCTTTAGCTTCCTACTTTCGCGAACAACAACAACTCTTTGATAGGTTTTACGAAGTGATTTTCGATTACCGAGTAAAGAAGAAGTACTTGCAATGGTAACGCCGGAAATGTGTTGTGCGCAGTATAGCATGCTAGCGGCTGAACAGCGCTTGAAAGTAATAATTAGATATTTCTTATTATGGTCTTTCATAGTAATTGAGTATCCTAGCAAAGCTAGTTTTAGTTCCAAATTGAAAAACGCACTGAAAAATTGAGTAGTGGATGCTCAACTACTAGTGGTTGAATATTCCAGCGAATGAAATTTTTTTATAGTTCAGTATCCTAATAAAGCTAGTTTTGTTTCAAGTTGAAAGAAACACGAGAAAGTCCTAATTTAGCAAACCGAATGAAATTTTTTTTAGGACGCTGGTTATGGAGAGAAGTATTTCTTCACTCCGGAAAATGAAGATGATTCTGATGACCAAGTTACCATCGAGGATGAGGTCAGTAAATTCTCTACTTATCGGCTTTGTATAACATCGCCGAGTAGCATTTTATCTCGAAAATAAGCGATTTACTGTATTATATCAAAAATCATATCACAAACTTCTTGTCTGGTGAGCGATTAATGGATGGGGATTGTGGAATATAAACTGATATCGCTTTCAGTGTTAAATGGAAATGCTTTGTATAAGACTAAACAGATCCTTAGTTTCATAATACTATTGAAAAGTTCACAGTTCAAGAATTTCAAATATGATATTCTTGATTCTGCACTGTGTGTTTTTGACACTTTCTTTTTTTTTTATTTAATTTCATTGTATGCATATCATTTTAAAGATAAAATGTGCTCCGTGGAATACGACACGGGCTTACATATCATCAATGAAAGGCAAATGTTTGTTGGATCAAACGGGTATAGCTGATCCAACCGGATGTGGTGAAGGTTTTTCATATGTTCGTGTCAGTGCTAAACCACAGAAAGCTAAAGTTAGTTTTTCTCCTCGTTTTTCGTTATTGCTTATTCCTGTTTTTTTTCAAATTTTTTACAGGAGGAAGTGACAAATGTCCCGAAACGATTGGTAACTGGAACAAATGCCGATCTTAGAAAGTTACCACTGAAAGAAGCAAAGGAAATATGTCGAGATTATGGTGTCAGGGAGGAAGAGGTGCTTTCTCAAATACCAAACAATTTGCACTGGCTTTGATATAGATTTCGAAAAATTAAATCCATCAATCAGAAACAAATGTCCTTGAAATTTCCGTTTGATTTTTCAGATTAATTCGTTAAGTCGATGGGAAATAATTGATGTCATTCGAACATTGTCTACACAAGCCGCTAAAGCAAGATCAGATTTCTCCGGTACATTTATCCTATTTCTGTAAATATAACAAAATTCGCTTCAGTTAAAATCCTTCATTTGTTCCTCTTTTTTTATGCTAATAATTATTATGAAGAAGCTGTTGTAGGTATGGCTCGTTTTGCTCGTGGAAATATCAGGTTTAACTTCGCAGATATGCAAGAAAAATACAAAAAATTCTGTCAGAGAACATTTGATTTGCAAAATCAGTACGTTATTGGTGCCTCTAGCATTTCGTATTGTTAATATTTTAACCCATGTGCTTTTCTGCAAGTTTCTTGAAACTTGCACAGATTAGAAAACAAATGTATTCCAGGACATTGTCGAATACAGATATTTTAAGTACGGATGAAGGAAGCAGTGGGGAGGATTCAGATAATGAAGAACTTGCAACGAAGCTTGAGAGCATGCTAGATGTTAATAAAGGTTCTGTTTTTAATATGATGTTTTAAAATAGTGATAAGATTGAAAAGTTTGTTTACCGATCTACATAGTGGGAAAAATCATGACGCAGGAAGTAAAAAACATGCTAGCAGGGAAAAAAGTTCATTGCTTGATTTACGATGCTACACACCTGCTTTTTTTTTTTCTTTTACTTATCACAATGTTTGTTCATCATTTTGTTGTGTTCACTGATTAGTTTGTTTAAGGCAAGTCATTCACACTTGATAAAAAAAAGTTGGAGTTCGAACAAGAGGAAAAGGAACGAAAGGCGCTGCAAAAAATGCTTTGTAATGATGAGCCTACAGGGTCCTCTACAACTAAGCATGAAAAAGAAAGTGATATAAAAGGTTTCATATTTTCGAGATCTGTACCTTTGTTTCTTTCACTTCGTAACTCTGCTTTTATAGTTTTTGTGACATCGCGTCTAATGAATTAGTTAATGGAATGCTTTTTGATTGCTTTTTGATTTACAGATAAGGAGTTGAATGCAACAACGGTATTCAGCGAAATGCAAAATTCTCAGATGTCAACGCCTTCTGTAACAAGAAAACTTAAAATATATCGTACTTATCGAGCTGAGGATGGCACAGAAACAGTATATTTTTAATGATTTATTAATAATGCAATCAGTAGTCGGCGGAGATTACGGTGACAAAGGTGAGATACGGTATTTGCTTTTTCAAGAGTTTGTATATATTCCTTAATTTCTTTTTGAATAGACTCGAGTTGAAGTAATTACACGCCAACAGCTGATCGACGCGTATGTCCGTATACGTACAAGATGTGATGAAACGTTCATTCGAGTATATGCGCAAATGGATGAGCAGTTTAAGGAAGTAAGTTGCTTACTTCAAGTTTGTTCTCCAGTTTAAGTCTGTGGAATGGTCTTTTCTTTTTTCGTTCTAGATTTCATTAGAGTCTTTCTTCGTTTACTGTTAAGTCTGTCTATAAAGTTTATATCTGCAGGAAAGAAGAAAAGAAAAACGACGATTACAAGATCAGTTGCGCAGAATTAGACGTAACGAGCTCAAAGCTAAGCTTCATGGTGTACCCATTGGACAACCTATTACCAAGGTTGGCTTAGTTTGTTTAACTGTGAGATTATGCATGTATTTAATTTGGATAATAGTATGGCAGAAAGTATTCAAATATTTTCTTTTTTATACTATAAAACTGTTCTTTTTTTGCCAAGGAAATGCATATGGTAGAAATGGTAAAAAAAGCGATAGTTTATCTAGTAATGACTTTTTGAGACGAAAGTAATGGAGAAGAAGCCACCAGTTATAAAACCAAATCTGTTGAAAATGAGATGCAGTGCTTGTCATGGTACGGGACACATGAAAACCAACAAAAATTGTCCATTATATGGTAAAGATCCGGCGAAAACCATCAAAACCGTTGGCGATATCCATCCGGTATTTTTAAGTTATTATAAACTGCTATCAAATATTGATCAAGCAATTTTGTTTCGAGTAAATTGCACTCCACAGTTCTATACTTTTATGCTTTTATCAGTTTTTTTGACTAACTTTTAATGAAGAGTAATATATTTTGAAATGTTAAATTGCATTTCACATGCCATTCTGTAGTGTATGTTCCGATGGAGTGGAAGAATTCCACTTCGAGTTTTGTAGCAAGTTTGCATAAACGTTTAGTACGAAGCCATGACCTTGTGAAGATTCAAAATTCATGTTTGACCGATTTAGGTAGCTTTGACGGATGAACAACTTGAGAAGANGGTCCGTTCCATCTGGAGAACTGATTGCAGTTGAAGGCACAAAAATTGAAAATATCAAGAAAATTGTACAGTCATGCAG